AGGCAGAGAATTCCAAAGCCAGGCTCCAGTAAAAGCAAAACTATTTCTGAAATAGTCAGTTCTGGCTTTTGGAATTTGTAAATTTTTAGAAGAACGCCTTAAGTTGTAGGATTGAGTACCAATCTGGCTGGAAAACATATCTTTTAAATAAGATGGGACGATATCATTGACGATTTTGAACATCATAATGGCCTTTTGTTGCAGTCTTTGTTCATTTAAAGGTATCCATTTGAGTTCATTAAAGATTTGACTCGTTCGTACGCTTAAATACGGTGCGCCAGTAATTATACGGGCTGCACGGTTTTGTAGTTTTTGTAACTTGCTAGTTAGAGTTTCGTCGATACTGTCCCAAACTAAACAGCAATAGTTAAAGTAAGGCTCAATTATGTTCTTATAGATTTTGATTAGATAGGGCCTACTTAAAATTGGCTTAATTTTCTTTAACGTGCTTAGGTTACATGCAATCGTCTTTTTAATGTGCTCAACATGAGAACGCCAAGTCAGATTTTCATCAATATAGACGCTGAGACATTTTGTTTCTTTAGATCGTTTTAACGCGGTACCGTCTATAGTCAGACATAAGTCTGTGAGAAATTCTTTGATGGGAACCAATTAACATAAATTCTGACTTTACAGCATTCAAAGTGAGTTTGTTGACACAGAGCCAAGAAGCTACATGTTCTAAGTCGATATCCATTTGATTATTCAGGTTATTAATTCCACAGTCAGAAAATGATAAAGTCGTATCATCAGCATAAAGCCTAGTTGTACTATAGTCGAGGCAACGCGGTAGATCATTAATGTAGATTAAAAAGAGAACTGGGCCCAAAATTGTCCCCTGAGGTATACCAAAAGAGATGGGACGGGCTTCGGAAAGTACTCCATTGAATGAACACTGTTGCGATCTGCCAGTCAAATATGACTGAAACCACTGTCGGACTGTGGCGTTAAACCCATAATATTCTAGTTTTGCTAACAATATACTATGATCAACGGTGTCAAATGCCTTCTTAAGGTCTAAAAATATCACACCATTGATCATTTTCCTGTCTATGGATGGATGGATGGATGGATGGATGGATGGATGGATGGATGGATGGATGGATTCATTACTGCATTAGATGTGTTTTACTATTCACCTCTAAAAGACCCTTGAAGTAAACACAGCTGATCTGTACCCCTTTCCAGGAAATCATCAATTAGAATAATGTCCTTATTAGACCACTCATGTACGATCTAAAAAAAAAAAGGTCGCTTAGTAATAAAAATATGGATAACATGAAAGGTAGATATACACTAGACTGTGTAATCCAGTCTATAATAATAATAACTATTTCAGCAGTTTTCACCTTATGGCCTTGAGCCTGAATACCTGGGGGCCCAATCTTGTAACAATTATTGTTACCTTACTCTGATTGCAATTAATTGCACAAACTTTGTTCTTCTTGGACTGCACCATAACATATGTAGAACCCTCTTCTGTCTAGAAAAGTTAAAATATTAATTAATTATCAAATGAGTCCTTGTAATCAACAAATATATATAGTCAATTCGAAAAATGTTGTCGTCGACCAACTCAAGCCTACGCGACTGGACCAAAAGGAACTCTGGGTAGTAATCATTGAAGCCAAGTTGACTCCATAATTTTATCTGACTAGTTATGCCTAATTTACAGCAACGAACCTTCGTAGGCGAGTGGGATAGCGTTGAAGGAGACATTTTCAATGTCTTCATATTTTCGAAATTGTGAACTGAAAATTGCTATATTTTGATATATTTGATTTGGAATTATCTTAATTCTACTTACTCATGAATATTTAATGAAAATTGTACTTGAGAAGAAAAATACAATTAAAATATAGCAATTCTTACAACCCAGAATCCCCCTTTTAACCCCTTGAGCATGCACTTAGAGCAGTAGCATGGAACTCCTGATGTATGTATTAAGCTTAATTTAACTTGTTGTAAACACAACAGCTTTGGAATAATAAGCAATTATTCGCCGTAGGCGAAGTGAATATTGGGGAATATTTACCGAGACACGAGTCTTCGAGGGGCGAGGTAAATATTCTCCATGTTCACTGAGCCTGAGGCAAATAATTGTTTTAGAATATACCAACTTGTGTACTGAGTAACTTATTTTTATATACAATAATTCAATAAAAACAAACAGAAACTTTTAGATTGTGTGACAAATTCATGCAAAGGTTTTAGCAAAACTTTTAGCAAAACTTTTAGGCCATACTTCGTTGCCTTTTTCGTACTGATGGGAATGGCATTTACTTTCATTTTTTCAATTTCCTCATCGGAAATTGTAGCAAAACTATACCGGCAGATGCTACTTTGTTGCCGACTCAATATTCCCAGATTCAGAGATGAATATCGTACAATATTCACCTCCAATTAGCCAATGAGAATTCTTAGGAAGTACACAAGTTGGTATATGCTAATGTACTTTTAGTCAGCATCTTGAATGGTTAGCTGTGTGATGAAGCATTACCTCCATGCTAATAATGTGACATGGATCATCAAATGGTAGCTGACAGTGTCCTACTAGCTTCCCTTGTTGAAATCCAATCAACTGCCTCATTGATGTACCAATGTATATCCTCTGACGTACAGTATCATCATCAGTAACATAACAGCACAGCGCTGTTGAGGAATAAACGCTTGGCAAAATCCTTTCACTTGGCACCAACCCTCTTTCAAAGTCAATACATAACCATTCTGTTTTATTGGTTTCTGTGGTGAGAGTTGCTATGGCAACTAGCTTGTCATTCATCATACCAGACCATAATAGTTTTAAGGAAGAATAAAGTTCATCACTTGTGCAAATGTGAGAAGAGTGCTCAAGGGATTTTGAGATTGTGTTCCATCTAAGAAACTCAAGACAGTTCCTGTGCAACCAGCTGACACAAGGTCCATCATTTAGCTTGTATTCTAGACGTGAAATGCTACTGCAAAGATTGAAGGAAGCTATTTTGACATGAGAACTAATATTTACTAAGAAAAATAAATGTAAACAAAGTTGTTCAGTTCTGCCACAGTGGTTTTCCACCAATAGGCATGGCTGTTTTATTCCTGTCACATATTCTACAATACATTCAAAGCCGGTAACTCGAATACCTGGCCATTCCATGCCAAGCTGGCGCTCCCTTTCCTTTTGTTTTACGAATTGTCTTGTATCCTTTGAATAGCCATGCACTGTGAAGTTGATCGTGTCGGTGTTTTCAATATGTCTCACCATCAACACTTTACCTCTGTATGTAAGGATATGGGTAGATATGTCCTTCTCCATTGCAATAGGTGCAATAAAATTCTATTTCATTCTACGCAAATCTATGGTTAAGTAAACCAAAGAATATAAAAGAATTGGAATACTGAAATACTGTTTGAAATTGGTGCCTTCTTTCCTTCCTTGTTGGTCTTGTCCGCTGACCATGAATATTTCAGTCTTATTAACATTGAGAGCGCAGAGCCTGGGTTCTAGTATTAAAACCTTTGTGGTCCAGTGGTCCGCCATTTYGAAAACATTGTACCATTACTATCGAGTTTTCAACTGTTTTAAACCCCTAAAAATATATTCTTAAGACATGACTTCTTTTTAAAGTTTTATGTGAAAACGTTTTTCGATAGTAGCCATGAGTGATGAATTGAATAACGGAGCTCTTCGCTTGGCAGTTGCTCAGATATGCCAGTCAATGGGATGGGATGCCCTGCACAAATCGACTCATGACTTGCTTACAGATGTACTGCAAAAATACATGCAAGAGATTGCCAAATGTGCTTATGGTTACTCACAACTTTGTAAGTATCCTTTTTCACGACAAGAAGAGCTGAATATTACATTTTCCTTGGGTTTAAGACGCATGGATACATTGTAAGCAGCTTTAATTTTTTTAATTAAGGATTTTGAATCTAGTTTATCAATACCTAACACCTTCATTAACCAATACCATTAATATATATATATATATATATATATATGTCTTTTGTTCAATTTCTGGTCCTAATTACTTATTTTTCAGATTGCCATACTGAGCCAAACTTGGAAGATTTGGGACTTGCTTTTAATGATACAGGGGTGCTTGTACATGAGTTAGAGGACTTTGTCAGCCAGGTAGACCAAGTACCCTTTAGTTATCAGTTGCCACGGTTTCCAATGCCAAAGCCTAACGTTCTTCATCACCCACATAAAGAAGAGATAGTAGATCGGCCTGAGTTCTATCATGAGCACTTGCCACCCCTCATCAAAGCTTTGCAACAAAATGAAGGTCGTGTATTGCTTTTGTGTACTGTCATGTTTGTTTTATAAGTACTTTATAGTGATTCTCTAGGATTGATACAGATTTTACACATCTGTATGACATTCTTTTCCTTCACACAACCAAAGACAGTCTGTTCTATATGAACACAGCATACACTTCCTTCTGTTTGCAGTGCATTATTTAACCACTTACAGAATTCATTGATTCTTGCTTTTTAACCCTGAACATCCTGGAGTGAATTTGTTCCCATTATCATTGTGGATGCATACAATTCTGATAGATCAATATAGATCTCAGTTTTGGAAATGATGTCAGATGAATAGACTGTATAGAGGCTTCCGCCAAGAAAGGATGCACAACAATAGTCTTTTCCCCCTAGGAAACTAAATTATTTCTCATGTAAACCAGATTTGGTCAGATCCAATTGTTCCTACCTGTCATGGCTGCTATCATGTGATGGTGCAAAGCCCCTGTTATTGGTATTGTTAAACACAGGTAAACATTGATGATAACTATTATGCATTTTACTTGTCTATCATAGATGAAGGAGAAAGAGATGCAGCTGAAATCCAAGGCTTAGAGCACTCTTCAGATTCCACAAAATCATATCTTAGAAGTGAAATAAAAACTGTTGGTCAAGAAACAGAAAACCAGTTAACTGAAAATGGAGAAGACAAAAGAACTGCTAACCCCTCTGTTGAATTTGAAAGTGAAGCAAAGAGGAGAAGACTGGAAAGTCCATTCAACAAACAGAATAAAGAAAATAAACTTGATATCCTTCAAGTCTTGCAGGAAAAAAATTCTCAGTCACCGTCACCTTCACCTTCTCCAGACTTTGTAGCAATTGAGCCAGATGATAAAAGGAATGAAAACACTGTGTTCACATTCACGTCAACACCAAATCCGCCATCACCTAAAACTCTTTCCAGTACAAAGAAAAAATCAAGCAAAAAGACAGAAAATCCTTCAAAAGATAAGCTATTACTCGGGTCCCCAGAGTTGATGAATAAAAAGCATGCTCAAACAACACCTGGGATAACAATTTCACCCAAGAAAACTTCTGCTAAATCAAAGGCTAAACCAAAACCTACTGCATCTCCAGTTAAAGGAAAAAATGTTTCTCCTAAAAAGACACCAGTAAAGCCTTCTCCTAAAAAGAAGTCAAAGCCACAAGAAAAGTCTCTAAAGTCAACTGCTTATACACCCAAAGTTCTATCTCCAGCAAGTAAAAAGAAATCCAAGCCAGTAAAAAAGGAGGCAACACCTTTTTCACCACCTCTCCCACTTCCTGTCTTACCACATAAGGAAGATACTGATGTTGCCAGAATTGTTACTCAAACCATGCCGAAGTTAATAATTAAACCCCTAAAACATGAAAAAAATCAGCTTTCAGAATATTCAGTATCAGAAATGCCTTTAGAAGCTTCTGTTTTGAATCCAGAAAAGAAAAAAGGAGTTAAAAGAAAAGCAACAACTGAGAAGGATGCCTTGAGAGAGAATGAGCCAAAACCAAAGAAAAAGAAAAAGAAGAAAGTATTGCCAGGGATAATAGACAGTACTGCTCTAGAGTCCCAACCTAAAGGAAGTTTTCCAGCAGCATCCGTCAGCTCAACCCAGATGCTTAGTGACATGCAAGGTGCAAGCATGGTCATGGACACTATCAAGAAAAAGAAAAAGAAGCGCAAGGAGAAGGATAGGGATAAAAGCAAACAGAAAAAGGTATTAAAAGGTGCATGTGAGATTATAATTTAAGATTATAATATGTATATATCTCACCACCTTTGAGTGATGAACTGCACTAGGGAATTGTCTCATGTTTTGCATCTTCGACCGACAATGGTTTTTTGAAATAGGCATATACCAAAGCTATACTTGAGCTAGTACTCTATCATAAAGGTCTATGAACTAATATCTTGTTATTTTGTAAATTCAAACCATTATCAGCCTGGAAAATTTGCTAGGGATAAATGTTTGCATTACATGTCTCATAAAATCTTTTAAAATCATTACTTTAGGTGAAAGAAGCAACTAGTTCAGAGTTTAGCATATCTTCTTCATCTGCGACACCTATTCCAACTATCAAGCTAAAATTAGAGAATCCATCATCCACAAGTACCATATCTACTGATGCAGGGCCAAAACTGTAAGTTGGAATAGTTTATACTGAATAAATTTAAATGAATCTGAAATTACTATCATTTTTTACAACAGTTTAATAAAATTAATTTACAGTATATGAAAATATATGGTAATCACTACTCCGAATAACTAAGATAAATCATGTAATATATTACTTCTCGTCATTTTGTTAGGAAAAAGTACAATTTTCTGAATATTGGCATAAACAACATTCCAAAAAAGTTGGTACAAAAACAAAACAGGATTTAAAAAAATACTTCATATCATATGCAATTTTTCTGTGAATGTTTTTGATATTAATTCAAAACCTTTCATTTTCTAATATCTAGTATAATTTGTTTATTCTAGCAGTGAAATTACAGCAAGCAAGAAGTCTCATCCTCTACCTTTTCATAGTGTGCCTTCTCAACCAGTAAACCCACAACCAGTGCCTCATACCATAACCCAGGAGACATTTGACAGTATAGTGCCAACAACTAGTGCAACTACTGGACCATTGTTAGCTAAAACTAAAGAGGAGGTACCTAGAACAGTAATCACAGAGACTCTCTCCACCACAGTGGTAAGTACAGGCCATGAACTGTTGTGCATCCCATAACCTCAGCTTTTAGTCTCGCTACAGAACCTCATAATATTATATTTTGATGTTTTTGATGTACATCTTACATGTAAGTCACTTCTTTCTTATGAAGCACTTTTCATTGTTGCTTTGCTAAGGGACTGTTAATTTTTTATCAGGGAGGGGTGAGGAGTTTGGCCAACTATGTTACACAACCCACAGTGGCCTCTTTTAGTATTGTTGCATGACTGCATATTTCCTGATAATAATTTTGATGTTTTTCATATATAATTTAAGTCGCTTCTTTCTTATGGCTTACTATTCATTTTTGTTTTGGCTAAGGGACCTTCCATTTTTTATCGGGGAGGGGGCAGGAACAGTAGGGTTTGTTTGGTAACCTAATTAGCAATTTTGACAGTTCTTTGCATGAACCCAAAAATATTCATAAATAGTATAGTGCAGTTAAGGATGTCAAAGTTTCATGTTCATGCAAAGTGAGGGTGCCTATTTTCCGAGTTCAGATTCGAGTTTTAGGAATCAAGTTTTAGGATTCAAGTTTCAGGACTAGTTTTGGAATTGAGGCTGCGGAACAATTTGCATATTCATCATTATTTATCTATGTCTTTTCTTTTCTTTCTTATCATTTTTCTTTAATCATTTTTCACACATGTTCTCCCCACCACCTTCCTCCTTGCTTGGGTCCAAATACCTCTGTCAAACATAGTGTCATCAAGTTTTTAATATCCGGTGGATCTATGTTCTAAGTCTAAGTCCAAGGAAGTCTAAGTCTTTTCTACAACATGTGCAAAATTGAAATATATATCTGAATATTTTAAAGGCTTAAAAATATCTTGGAATCTCTTTCTTGGAGTAACCCAACTAGATACAGATGTTATTTGTATCGGTATGTTATCCCTACCCACTAAACGTTAGTGGGGAAGGATAACAGCGCAACACAAATAACGTCTGCAAAGGAGGCTAAATAATATCAGGCAATCAGATGATCATATTCACATGCTCCCTGATTGGTCAGTTCTGCTCAAGGGTGAGCCTGGTTAGGGTGTCCAGTCAGACAAATCAATATCATGATTGTTAACAAAATACGTATGATGATGATGATGATGATGATGATGATGATGATGATGATGATGATGATGATGATAAAGAATGTTTTTATACACATATAAAAAACTATGCGTTTACAATAAATAAATGTATAAATGTATATAGAAATTTAGATTATAAAATAGAAAATATAATGTTCATGGAATATAATGTTTTTAGTACGTGGAGTTGATCACAAATCCGTTTGAAAAGTTTCTTTAAAAAAATGCATTTAGTTTTGTTTTAAAAATTCCTAGTGTTTCAACAAGTCTAATGTCTTTCAGTATGTAGTTTGTTCATTAGTTTTGGTGCGCTGTGAGTAAGAGAACGATGGCTGGGGTGTTTAGGCAGAGTGAGGAGACAGTCATATGATGAACGGAGGACGAGTTGAGGAATGTGTCTTTGTATTAATGATGATACTAAGGTAGTGTGGAGCGATACCATTAAAGATTTTATAAGTGACATTAAGGAACTCGTGATGCGACAGGGAGCCAATGAAGAATTTTAAAGACAGGTTGTATATGTATACCAGGCATGCTGCTGAATTCTGAATTCTCTGTAACTTCTCGATCTGGTACTTTGGGAGGCCATAGAGTAAACTGTTCGAAAAGTCAAGTCGGGATAAAACTAATGATGTAACGAGGCGTTTGATTGCATCTGTAGGAAGGTATTTACTAGCCTTAGTATCAGGCCTCCTGGGGAGCTTTGGGGGGGGGGGGGGGGGGCTTGGGCTTGGGCTTTCCGAGATGGACTAGGGACTCTCTCTCTTTCCCGTCCGCCTCCCCCCTCCCTGGAGAGTATTTAGCGATGTTTTCATGTTGCCATTAGGGTTCACTGACATATACAGTTGGTTGTCATCAACATAGAACATGTAGTTTACGCCATTACATCTTGAAGAGGAGCTATGTATATTGTAAACATCCTAATATAGATCCTTGTGGGACTCCGAAGTCCAGGTGTCTTGGAGATGAGGATGATGACTGGATCATGACTGATTCAGTGTGTTCTTCCTGTAAGATATGATGAGTACCATTCCAAGACAGTTACAATGAAACCAAAATAGGTTTCCAAGCGTTTCAGTAGTATTTTGTGGTAGAGTGTGTTAAAGGTTGCTGACAGATCCAAAAACACCAACTAATGCGTCAGAGCCAGAGTCGAGTGTTAATAGAATGTCATTAGTTATTCATAGAAGAGCAGTTTCAGTAGAGTGGAATCGTCTATAGGCCAATTGAAAGTGGGAAATAGATTGGCATTGTTCAGATCTATAGGTATATGTCTGCATGGTAACAGATTTCTCAATTACTTTGGCCAAGAATAGAATGTTGGCTAGAGGTCTGTAGTTCTTCAGCAAATCTTTATYGATGTCAGGTTTTTTGAGTTTTGGATGAATTATTGATTTCTTGATGGAAGATGGAAATTTGCCAATTGACAATTAGGTGGTCACTATGTCAGCCATTACAGGAGTCAGGATGGAAGAGTAGGTCTTTACTATAGTTGTAGGAATCGGATCCAATGGACACGTTTTATAGGTTTTATCTTGTATCTGTTTAAGTGAGGGAAGAGTGAAGTTTGCAAACTGGTGGTCCTGATGAAGGGTAGTGCCGTCGTTGAACAGTGTTGGGCCAGAGGCTGGAGCTAAATTAGATCTGATGTCAATTATATGTTTAATGAAGAAATCATTACTACGCATTTGATTAATACTCTAACAGGTTTGGCATCCCGTTTTAAAAATACCTTAAGGAGGCTGGAAAGTGTTTTGTGCCTTCACATTATGAACTAAAAAAATATTATGGCTATAATATGACAGCAAGTAAACCTGTAAAGCCAAAGACCATAAACCAAACATCACAATGAACATGAAAAAATGACGTAAGACGTTGCTATGACAACATCAGAACCCTTGGCATTTCATCAAAAATGTTTATTTAAAAAATCATAATTCAGGAACCAAATGGTAAAATTTTTTAAAAACCGGAATATTTAAACTTTGTATCGTAATCTTCTTTTTGACAAAAGAAAAAAAAGAAAAAATTCTGTAAGAGGGAACTATTCCAAATAAATTTTATTGATTTTTACGAATTCCCTCTTACAGAATTTTTTCTTTTTTTGTTTGCGATACAAAGTTTAAATATTTCAGTTTTTAAAAAATTTCACCATTTGGTGAAATAGAATAGCTGGAATTAGAAAGGGGTGGCTAATGGTCAGCGGAAACATGCAAAGCACTAAAAATCGAGATTAGATCCCGATTCCGAAAACTCGAATCCTAAAACTCGAATTCTAACTCGAATCCTAACTCTTTTCCCTCAAAGTCAATAGAAGCCAATGAATTGTATATGTAGAGGACATTCATGAAATAAGAACAAGTAAAATCTTTCTCTTTTATAACAAGCATATTAAGTCTATTTTTCTCCTCACAGCAAATCTATTACTGCCCCACCTGTGGACTAGCTGATGATGGGAGTTTTATGATTGGATGTGATTCCTGTGATAGATGGTATCATGGGTAAGTCTGTTTGTTGTACTGATTTGCTATAGGGGAAGTAAAGTCTTAATAGAACWCAAAGTCCTCTACTTTAGGTTAAAACCACCTTAGCTATTCCGCCTGTGAAATTCATAATGGCGCTAATGATGGTCCAACCCTTGTAACCCTGATGTAAAAACAAATATTAATTGTAACCAAAAGAGATAAGAACGTAACATCTCAAAACATATTTACATGTCTTGGAATCACTTCAGAACCTGATACCAAAATAAACATGTGCATTTTCTTAATTTGCATGGTAAATGATTGTCGTTAACAGAGCATGTGTTGGTATCAACGACGACCCTGGAGGAGACTGGTATTGTGAAGTGTGTACCGGGAAGAAAACGAAGAAGAAGAAGAAAAAGAAAAGCAAGGATAAAGACAAGCATAATTAGTTTTTGAACTCAAGAAATGACGACTTATTATGGCTTTTCTAAAATATATCTATAGTTCAAATTAACATTTTAAATTAAATGTACTTGTTGTCGCTGTGTTGTCCCCCGGTCGGAGAAAACAGCTGGATTGTGATACTATGAAAATCGCCGAACTGTGGATAGGCCCGAGTATTCTTAGGACAGCCACACCCATTTTTGTATGATTCTCCACGCCCCCTCCCCGTCCAGTAGTCTTTAGTATCCATTTTGGCTCCATCTCTACCACATACTTGTAGACGTGGAATGTTTGGGCAATCGTACAAAAGTGAACGTCATAAGAAAACTCGGGCCTATTTCACAGTTTTTGTGATATTAGTAGTATCAATTACTGTAAATCAACATATAAATAAAACATCTGTGATAAAAAGGTAAAGCTTGGTCTTGTCATGGTTTTGGTCGCTGGCGTTCTGTATGGGGGAGAGGGGGGGGGGGGCAATACCTTGTTGTATGTGTTTCCTTGGGATCAGTTCGGACAAATGGATTTAACGCTAATTTATGTTTTCATTTTTTGAGAAGATGAAAAGGGAGATATTCAAAACGTATTAGTGTGGACGGGTTGCTCCTGATGGTATTTTGTTGTTGTAAATAAAGACCTGAAGGGCGATACCTTGAAGTCTTTAGCGTATTGGCTGCTTCAGAGTGCTATCCAAGAAGGAGTAGATTATTAGTGACCTTACAAGGAGCTCGATGGAACTGGTTTTCATTGAAATTGAGAGAGCCAGTTTGGACTTTGCGTTTGCAAAAAGTTTTTGGAGGAGACAAGTAAAGTCAGTAAAGCAAACTAAAATAACAAGAATTCGGAGTACTGTCTGTCCTTTAAGGTCTCTCCACGTGCTTGACCTTATCTTACCTACCATAGCTGGATCTCATGTATTTTTGGCAATCAAAAACATAACTTTCGGAGGCAATCATCCTTTAGATCCTGATTCGGAAAATTTATTGATGAATTGCATGTGTAAAATTGGGTGAAAAATATATTTAGAGAGTGACACCTGACGCTGTTGCCTTAATTTTATGCATATCTAGATTTTTGACCACATTTCTGTCAAGTTCTCTCCACTTGAACTCGAGTCAGATGGCAAAATTAATGTTAAGATGACTAATAAATATCTAGACTCAAAAGATGAAATTTTTTCATTAGTGCCACGCCTCCACCCAAGGCACAGAAAACCATTTGTAAAAAGCGTTCTCCGTTCGTTGCCCGAATATTTCGGTTTCTTGGTCATTACTGAAAGCCCGATGTTATCAACCGATAGAAAATATGAATTCAGAGTTCCCTTCGCACGAGCCTTTCATCTCGGTCATTACTCTCCTCATGTTCTAACTTTATCTCATTCTATTTCAAATATTTATGTTATCCGCTACCAAAATAATTTAGATTCTAGGGGACATGTCGAAAACAAAAACATAAATAGCATTAAAATCTAAACCACATATTATTGGTTTCAGGGCAAATACTAAGTATAATTACTCTGTTCATGTCACATTGTAGCACACACGTGATTGGCTTGGCCATTCCCACAGTGCGAAGTTTCACAGAATTGGGGAGGATTTGCAAAAGTGAAGTATAAAAGCCATCATGAACGTTAATACTGAATGGATGGAGATGGTGGGATTAACGATGATGATGATCCACGGCGCAACTTAAAAAAAAGGGGGGTGCTAACATTGGAAAATATAAGGGACTAGTATGGATAAAGGGATCGAAAAAGTGGGCCCCCTGCCCCACCCCTTCCGAGGCCTATGTGATATATAACTAGTCTCCTACACAGCCGCTAATAGCTTCGTCACGCAACGCTTACTCTCCTAGAAGTCTGCGTAGGAGACTAATATATCACCCGTCTCTACTAGATTGATTTATCTTCCTGAGAGATTTCGATCTTTCCAGAGATAAATCCTTCTCTGGTTATCTGGAATATTTGACGATAAATAAAAGCACGAGTCTTACAACCGGCTGCTTTTCTGCATGAGTAATGTGAATGACATTCTGCGTTCCCTAAATCATTTATTAAATATTTGCCTGTGCACGTAGCGGAATACTGTGTTATAAAGAATGTGTGGTCAATGCATTACGGTTTACCGACTAATTTTAGATATCACATTTACGGCTATTTCATGTTATTTTCGTGACAACTATGATTTTACTGTAGCGGATTTTCTACTAATGACTGTGATAATGAAAAAGAGACCGCAGTGTTCAATCCTTAGGATTTCCACGTCTGTTTCGACCTCTCTAGATCTCTGTTCTGTGTAGCTTTAGCTCTTTGTCTTTGAAGATTCTTTAAAAGTATTATTTTTATCATATTTTATTATATTTTGATTATCTTTTTATTTTGAAAATACCCGCAAAGAAGAGCAATGATAGCGCTTTATACATGAGCCTCTGTCTCGGGAAAATTGCAGGCAACCGAATTTAAAATAAATAAATACATTAATAACTTTACATTCTTTTTTTACGGCTTCGCGCGAAACATATCCATCAATCTACTTATATTCCGTTGAATTTAGAATTTAGGACTTTCAAAACATCAAAAGTATCTATAAGTTCCAAATTCGAGTAATTTTGTTGAGTGTATCATAACAATATTAATTAAAACTATTTATTAAAATCAGTTCAGATCGAGCCCCGAACGTACCTCGTTATAGTGCAACCTTTGYATTTTGCTCGGTGATCTGTGGCATGGTTGGCCGAACGGGTCAGTAAATTGATTTTTTTCTTCTTTTGATGTGTTGTGCTCTACCATGCAACCAGGGTTATTTCTTCGGCTTTTCTTTTCTTAGTCTTTTCTTTTCTTTTCTTTTCTTTTTTCCCTATTTTTCTCTTTACGAAGACTTAGTATCATTTTGCTTTGCGTTTTCTTATCGACACCGTACCAATGAAAGCTGATGACGGAACCAAAAAGTGAACATGCAATAATTGGCAAAACTGAGCTGTCGTTATATTACCACTGAACAAGCTACAGCCTCTGCCTGCAGACCTGTGCAGAGTCCACAGAGAATGAGCATGAGGAGCAGACGGAGTAAAAGGAAGCTTGGTCATAAACTGAACTCAAAACAGGAGTCGTATGTACATTTTGTAATCTCCATATGTGAAGTGGCAAATTTAAAAAATCGAAACCTCCACTTTAGTAGATCAGAATTTCTCAGAAGGCTTTTCTACTTTTATACCGGCTGATCGAGCCCCGGGGCTCCTTCATGCGTTCATCCCCCCC